TGTAAAGCAAAGAACTCTAGAATAGCCTTAAATTTGAGGTAGAGTATGTTTAACAGTAAGACATAAGCAGAACGATATGTGAAGGGGTATGCTAGTAAATGAGACCCTGGGGAAGTAATGCCCCTACCGTATGATGTTTGTTGGTGTTTTTAATTAAAGAAATTATGGTTTGTATATGAACTCAGTGTATTTTGTAAGTCCGCAGAAGTTGATTAATTTAAGGCATTGTTACTAATTGGCAACAAGGAATAGAGACCGTGGAAAGTTAGGCCAATAGAGACAAGTTGGAACTGGGACCATTGAAAACCAATTGGAATTGGGGCCAGTTGAAGGACCACTTGAATTTTCCAAAAACACACAACACCCACAATTTTTTTAATAGAATACACAGATTTTCTATAGAAAATCGTTCAATTAATATACAATTTAATGTATTTTTTTTAATTTTTTTAAATAAAATGTTTAGATTTCTATAGGGGTTTTAGTTTATAGATTTATAAATGGTTTTTATAAAATTGTTTATAGATTTTCTATAGTTTTTAAAGGGTTTTTTAAATTAAATTTTCATAGACTTTCTATAGAGATATAGGAAATAGAATTTTCATAGTTTTTAATACTTTTTATAGAGTTTTAATAGTTTTTAATAGAGTTTCAATATATTTTTTATAGAGTTTTTTTAGTGTTTTTATATATTTTTAATATATTTTTATAGAGTTTTAATATACTTTTTATAGTGGGCTTCTGTAAGGTTTCTATAGAATTTTATATAGATTTTCTAAACAATATATTAGAGACATTCTATAGTGTTTTTTAATAGAATTCTATAGATTTTTTTGTATGGGTAGGCCTACATATATATTTTTCTCTCCGACAAACATTGTTTTTACGAGAGTTGTCCAGAACCCTTTGACGGTCCAGGTGAAGGGAAAGATTCCCTGGAAACTGTTACAATTTTAGATAGGAAACTAGGCCTAAATTAATTTTTAAAGTCTTAATTTTTTTTTTCTAATTTTCCTTCTAATAATATAACTATGGTATAGGATTCCTATAAGATTCTAATAATAAACCTAAAGTTTCCTATAAGATTTATAATGACACCTATAGGATTCCTATAAGATTATTCTTTTTTGATTCTGATAATATACTATAAGATTCTAATAATACACCTATAGGATTCCTATAAGATTCTAACAATTTACCTAGAGGATTTTTATAAGATTTTAATAATATACCTATAGGATTCTTTTAAGATTCTAATAATCAACCAATAGGATTCCTATAAGATTTTATTAATACATCTATAGGATTCCTATAAGATTTTAATAATAAAACTTTAGGATTCCTATAAGTGTCTAATAATATACCTATAGGATTACTATAAGATTTTAATAATAAACCTATAGCATTCCTATAAAATTTTAATAATAAACCTATAGGATTCCTATATGATTTTAATAATAAACCTATAGGATTCCTATAAGATATTAATGATATACCAATAGGATTCCTATAAGATTCTAATAATAAACCTATAGGGTTCCTATAAGATTCTAATGATATACCAATAGGATTCCTATAAAGATTCTAATGATATACATACCAATAGAATTCCTATAAGATTCTAATAATATACCTACAGGATTTCTATAAGATTCTAATGATATAATAATAGGGTTCCTATAAGATTCTAATAACATACCTATAGGATTCCTATACTATTCTAATAATAAACTTATAGTATTCCTATAAGATTTTAATAATAAACGTATAGGATTCCTAAAAGATTCTAATAATAAACCTATAAGAATCCTATACGATTCTAATAATAAGCCTACAGGATTCCCATAGGATTATCATAATATACCTATAACACTCGTATAAGATTCAATTAATAAATCCATTGGATATATACGATTCTAATAGGATTTTAATAATAAAAACTATAGGATTTTTTTTGTTTAGGATTTCTGTAAGCCTCTAGTAATATTTCTATAAGATTCAAATAATAAGCCCATTGGATTTGTATAATATATGGCCCTTTGCTGTTTCATGGGTTTTTCCCATTTGCCTTTCAAACTTCATCAGAAGGGCCTGATGAAGGGCGATGCCCGAAAACGTTTGTGTTTTTTACCATTAAAAGTTACGGCTACCCTACACTTTTGCTTTATGCGTTTTATTACTATTTTATTGAAGCCGATGCAGCCACCTACTCGTTCTGTCTCTTATACACATCATCCTTAACCTTTATGTATATGCACATATAACAGGATTTTTGGTGTCCTATAGGATTTAGATAGTTTTCTATAGGACTTGATTAAGTCCTATAGGACTCGATTTAGTTTTATAAGATAATATGCAAACCTTTAGAACACTTTTAAAATCCTATAGGATCCTGTAGGACATTTTCGTAAGGGGCCTATCACTGCTTGTTTAGTTTGGCCTAAGTATTAATATTATGTCAACACTTTGCTTATAGGCCCGCTTATAGGTTATAGTAACACTTTATGATTGCAGTTGTCACACTACCGTAAAACCTCGAATAGAATCCCCATGGGCTTATCTCGAGAAAAAGCGCATCTCAAAAATAAACCCCCGCGGGTTTCTAATCAAGATAATATGGGCTTCTTTCGACATTATCTTTGATTATTGTGATAGCGTGTTAGTATACTTCTATTTCTTTGTGCTACACCATGGTTAAAATTTTTAAAATATTAAACATAATTTCGAATTCCATAGTTGAAAAATGTATAGTAGCAATTCTAAAATTTACAGTATTAATTTGGGGGAAAAAAATACCTCCCTTTTAGTTTGCAAAAGTAATCTCGAAAAGAAGCCCATTTCGAAAATAAGTCCACTAACGCCCATTGCATAGGCCTATCAATATTGTTAATTTATACCATTGAATTGTGCCAATACCTTTAGCTGTGATGTATACTCGTACGCTGATGAAGGGAGCAGGTGCTACCAGAAATATCGTATAAATAAATATCAATGTTGTTATAAAATTTAAGTCTCTTGCAGTACTTTATTAGCCAGTTAACGTAAATAAAACAATGAAGAATACTGTGTAATAGGTGATTTTTGTAGTATACTTCAGCGCTTGGTCAGAACCAAGGCGATCAACCTTGTTCAAACTAATAAGTTGCAGCCTTCATTGATTATTATTTAGTGTAGCGCCCCCATTAGACAAATATTGTTTGGGCGTAGATATTTTAGGCACATTAGGGATTATTGCATATTGTATTACACATTTAGACTCACTTAAATAAATATTAGATTACCACTAATTAAAAAGAGGTTAATTACATTAAAATTTGCTTAAACGATAAATTTATATTGTGTTTAAAAATAAAAATGATGATGATAATGAAGATGACTACGATGATGGTGGTAGTGGTGGTGATGATGATGATGACGATGATGATGATCCTACAAACGGCGTATGGTCGTTCGTCTCTCGAAAGTGAAGCCACCGGAAACTATGACGATTTAGAGGTTTCAAATGTTTATTTAGTCAATTTTAGATTCTACTAACGTAAAAATTACATATAATGTTTTCCTTCAATACGAATTGTGTTTTTCTCCCCTATGGGGGGGGGGGGACGAAGCTCTCCTCTACGGGGGCCCTGCCCTATCCGTCAATGCCCTACTGGCGCCCGGCCACCCCTAACCTTTACTGAGACAATTGGAACAAACAGAATTAAATGCGATTTTCTGTCGAAATGTTATTGAGTAAAATATTTTCTAGTTAAAATATTTAATTGAAAGTCAATAACAATTAGGTCTACAAAAACTCACAGGCCAGATCAAACAATGGAGTTACAAGGACCAGCATGATAACAATACACATTGTATACATTATAGAACAATATAAAGTAAATAACAGCAGCACTTTTGAGACTAACAATATCTAATTTATTCTCGAGCTTTCGTCCACACAGTGGACTTCATCAGGAGACTGTACAAATGGGATAAGAAACAACTACTGTATAATATACAACTGAAATAATGGGGGCGGTCATACAACAACAAAGAATGGTGTACAAAACAAGTACAAGTCTGCCGAAATAAGCAATCTAAATAAACAGTATTAAAAAAACGAA